CTTATTCCCCCTAGGATAAAACACAAAATCCTGTTTAACTATCAAAGGACTTCATAACCTGAAACCCACTCCCCACTTCTTATACATTATGCCTTTCCTTCCCCAAAATACTGTGTGATTCAATGACACTGGTCTCCTTGCTGTTCTTCAGATGGTACACTCCATCTCCAGATTCAGGCATTTTCATGAACTGTCCCCCATTCTTGGAGTGTTCTCTTTCATCATCTCTGCCCCCTGGACTTCCTGGCTTCCTTCTAGTCCTAACTAAAGTCCCACATTCTACAGATTCTACACATTCCCTCTCTCTGTTGTCTCTCATTTATCCCGTATATAACTTGTTTGTACATCATTGTTTACATGCTGTCTCCCTCATTAGACTGTGAGATCCTTGAAGGAAGGAAATAAGCATTTATTGGGGCAGTTAGGTGGCACCATGGATAGAGCTCTGGCCTTGGAGTCAGGAGGACCTGAGTTCAAATCCAGCCTCAGACACTTGACACTTATTAGCTATGTGACCCTGGACAAGTCGCTTAACCCTGATTGCCTCACTAAAAAAAAAAAAAGCATAAAAAATAAATAAGCATTTATTAAGCACCTAGGTGGCTCAGTGGTTAGAGTGCTGGGCCTGGAGTCAGGAAGACCTGAGTTCAAATCAGCCTCAGACACTAACTAGCTCTGTGACCCTGGGCAAGTCACTTAACCTCTGTTTGCCTTAATCTACTGGAGAAGGAAATGGCAAACCACTCCAGTGTCTTTGTCAAGAAAATCCCATGAACAATATGGTGCATGGGTCATGATGAGTCAAACATATGCTAGGCACTGTTTACAAATGATCTCATTTGATTATCAGAACAATCATTGGAGGAAGGTGATATTGTTATCCCCATTTTACTGTTGAGGAAACAGAGGCAAGCAGAGGTTAAGTTATTTGCCCAGGGTCACACAGCTAGTAAGTGTTTGAGGCCAGATTTGAACCCAGATCTTTTGGCTCGAGAACCAAGCTCCACTGTACCACGGAGCTACTTCTCCCTTGTCAGCAGGACTATCTTAGGCCTTTCGCTGTATCCCTAGCACTTAACACAGTGCCTGACACATATAAGATGCTTTAAAAATGTTTGATTTGACTGAACAAGAAGCCTAAAATCACAGCATTGGAAGGAATCTCTGAGGTTATCCAGTCCAGCCCCTAGCAAAGAATGATTCCTCCATCGATAACTTTCTCAAGTGGTCTTCTAGCCTCTGGTTAATGACTTCCAGGGGTGGAGCATTTCCAAGGCAGCTCATTCTATTTTGGATAGCTCTATTTGTTGGGAAAGTTTTCCTTATATTAAAATCTACTTCCCTGTAATTTCTACTTTGTTGTTTAATAGCTTTTCAGTCATGTCCAGCTCTTTGTGACCCCATTCGGGGTTTTCTTGGCAAAGATATTGGAGTGGTTTTCCATTTCCTCCTCCAGCTCATTTTATGGATGAAGAAACAGACAAACAGGGTTAAGTGACTTGCCCAGGGTCACACAGCTATTAAGTATCTGAGGCCAGATTTGAACTCAGGAAGATGAGTCTTCCTAACTCCAGACCTGGTACTCTATCCATATACCACCTGACTTCTGGGGATTAGCAGTACAGGTCAAATCCCTGTTCCTCATATTGGAATATTAATATTTATTAGTATTTATCAATAATTATTATACATTATATATAACATTATTATTAATAATAATTCAAATATTAGAAGACAACTACTACATGTACTCCTCCCCCCAAACTTTTGGGGGAACTCACTTTTCTTTTTAACATTGAACATCTGCAATTTCTCCAACTGATCTTCCTATGGCAGCATTTTGAATTCTTTCCTGATTATGGTTGCCCTTCTCTGAATAGTCTCTGGTTTGTCAAGGCCCCTAGGCAGCTAGGCGAACCTGGAGTCAGAGAGACCTGAATTCAAATCCAGCCTCAGACAGTTATTGACTGTGTGACCCTGGGGAAGTCATTTAACCTCTCTCTCTGCCAGTTACCTCATCTGTAAAATGGGGTAATAATAGCAACAACCTTCCAGGGTTGTGAGGATAAAATGAGATATTTGGAAAGTGCTTTGCAAACCTTAAGGAACTCTATGAATGCTAGCTATAATAATAATTGTTGTTATTAAAATGGGATAGCTAGATCTTGAGCAAAGTGCTCCAGATACATTTTGAGCCAGTCAGGCCATACCAAGACTGGTTCTGATTCTGGTTCTGGACACAAGCATCTCAAAGGCAGCTTGAGATCACATTAACTTTTTTGGCAGCCATGTCACATTGTTGACTCATGTCTAACTAAAACCCTTAGGTCTTTTGAAAACAAATGATAAATTTTATAGCTGCATCTCTTATACTTGAGCAATCTTTTTTTTTTAAACTGAAGCTCAGGAATTTACAATTATCCCTATTCACTTTCATCTTGTTAGCTTCAGTCTATTAAGATTTTTTGGCTCTTAATTTTGTCATCTAGTGTATTATTTCCTCTAGCTGTGTGTGTCAAAACTTTATTGCAAATAGGGGAGAAACTATGAAGAAGTAACTTATTTTCCCTTGTGGCAGAGCTGAGTTGGCTGAGGAATGGGGAAATCAAACACACCTCACTTCCTATAACTAGCCAGTCAATTAGACAATGAGCATTTCTCATGCACTTACTATGTGCCGGGCACTGTGTTAAATGCTGGGGATACAAAGAAAGGCAAAAACACAGTTCTTGCCTTCAAAAAGCTTGAAGTCTAGTGGGGGAGGCAGGATACAAATAACTGTACATGTAAGCTATATAGTGCAAATGATCATCTCAGAGCAGCTGAGGAGTGGAGGTTGGGGTGGGGAGAGAAGACCCAGGAAAGTATTCTTGCAGAAATGGGACTGGGGCCAAGATTTAAAGGAAGCCAGGGAAGCCGGGAGGCAGAAGTAAGTAGGCAGAGCATTTCAGGCAGGGGGACAGTCAGTGAAAAAACATGTTCAAGGAAAGGCAAGAGGGCTGTCATCTCTGATCATAGTGCATGGAAGAAGATTGCAATGATGGGAAGGGACCGGGTTATGAAGGGCTTAAAAAGCCAATCAACCTGGCCTCAGGAGGACCTGAGTTCAAATCCAGTCTAGCTGTGTGATCCTGGGCAAGTCATTTAACCCCTATTGCCTCTGGAAAAAAAAAAGCAATCAAAGGATGTTGTATTTGATCCTGGAGGTGATAGGGAACTACTGCAGTTTATTGAATAGAAAGATAACATGGTCAGACTTGAGCCTTAGGAAAATCACTTTGTCAAGTGAATGGAGGATGGACTGGAATAGAGTAGGGAGAGACATGAGGCTGGGAGACCAACCAGAAGGGCTATTGTAATGGTCCAGGAGTGAGATGAATTATGGCGGCAGCTGTGGGAGTTAGAGAGCCTGAGATACACGAGAGATATTAGGAGGAATAGAAATGACCAAAGTTGGCCATTAACTGGATATGCGCAAGAGAGAAGTGAAATTTCACTGTTCAGTGAAATTGTGAACCTGGGAGGATGGAGATGCCCTTGATTGTAAGAAGAAAGTTTGGAAGAAGGGAAGGTGGGAGGGGAAAGATCATGAGTTCCTTTTTGGACATGTTGAGTTTGAGATACGTAGGAAACATCTTGTTTGAATAGCTCACATTTTTATAGCACTCTAAGGTTGGCAAAATGCTTTACAAATATTTATTAATTTTATCTTCACCACAACCCTGGAAGATAGGTGTTGTTATTATCCCCATTTTACAGATGAGGAAACCAAAGCAGACAAAGGTTAAGTGACTTACCCAGGGTCATACCTCTGTTAAGTGTCTGAGGCCAAATTTGAATTCTGGTCTTTCTGACTCCAGGTCTAGCATGCTAACCAGTTGGCGCCACCTAGCTGCTGTTCAAGATATTGGGAAGGCCAAACGTGATGTAATGAAAGATAGGCGCTCGGAAGAGAGGTTAGGATTAGATACATAGATCTAAGCGTACAGATGATAATGGAACCTATAGGAACTAATGATATCAATAAACCAAACCCCAAGACTCCGGCCAACTACTTCCTTGACCATTCTTCGGGCTCAGGAACTCACCACCTTTCTATTTACAGTCTTACCTCCGCCTATCCTCAGTTTTCCATCTCTTGCTCAGGGTCAATCAAGGTCAACATTACCATTGCCTCTGTTAAAAGCAGACAATTTCTTGCCCTATATCTCCACTTACCATCTCAGAGATTAATTTTTATGTCATGTATTCAATTTTCTATGCATATATTACTACTTCTCAATAAAATATAAGCCCCTCAAGGGCCACAACAGTCTCATTTATTTTTCTGTTTAATAACATTGCCTAGCACAATGTCTAATAAGTACTTAATAAATTCTTGTTAAACTGAATTGAACTGCAAATTTAATAAATGTCACCTGTGCTTTCATCAAAGTATTTTACTTAAAAAAAAAAAAACTTGAGTAGTCCGGGACCAAGGACAGAACTTTGGTGGCCTCCTAGAGACTTCAGTCTACACTGATTTAATCTGTTAGCATTCTGTATCTAGTTGTTTACCCCCTTCCAAGTCCATCCAACTTGACTGTCATCCAGTTCATATCTCCCCACATTGCCCTCAAAGACATAATAAGAGAATTTGACAAATGCTCTGCTGAAACCTAGGTATATTATTCAATTTGGCAAGTATTTATTACATTTCTAATATTTTTAGGTGCTAGGGATACAAGAAGAAATTACTTAGTCCTGGTCCTCGAGGTGCTTAAAATCTACTCTGTCTATCGCATTCTCTAAATAATCTAATGAATTAGGTTTGATTAGTCTAATAATGCTGCCAGTAAAGGAAAAGGTAAAAAAGCATTATATGAACAAGGTTATCCTAGAGTTGCTTATTTTTACAGTAGTAATACTATTTTATTTGGTTGTTTTAAAAGTGTGGGAGAGTCTAAGAAAAAATGTAGGATGCTTTAATTATTTTCCTCCCTTCCTGCCTTTGTCTTTAGTAATGAAAAAAATGGCAGAATTTGAACTCCCATATGTGAGTCTTCAAAGCACAGAAGTGGAAAACTGTAAGGTTGGACTTAGAAAGTGGTGAGTACAATAATATGATTATGGACAACTCTACAGCACGGAAGTGACCAAAGCAATCTTTGTATAATTGTTAGAGAAATGACCTTAGAAAATACCTAGTCCAACCTCTTCATTTTATAGATAAGGAGACTGGGGCCCACAGAGGTTTAAGTGACTTATCCAAGGTCACACTGGTAGCATTCTTCTGCCTTCAAATTCATTGCTCATTCTGCTCCACTGGTACTGCCCAGATGCTACAGCCAGTTCGTAGTTCCACATCTTGTGAGAGAGGGACAATTTTAAGAAAGTAGAGAGAATAATAATAATAATAATAATAATCATAGCTAGTATTTATATGGGGCAGCTAGGTGACACAGTGGATAGAGCAGCAGGCCTGGAGTCAGGAAGACCTGAGTTCAAATTCAGTCTCAGACACTTACTAGCTGTGTGACCCTGGACAAGTCACTTGACCCTGTTTGCCTCAGTTTCCTCATCTGTAAAATGAACTGGAGAAGGAAATGGCAAACCACTCCAGTATCTTTGCCAAGAAAACTCCAAATGGGGTCATGAAAAATTGGAATGAAAGATGACTGAACAACAACAAAAAGCATTTATATAATATAATGCCTACTATGTGTCAGGCACTATGCAAAGTACTTTACAAATATATTGTGAGGTATAGTACGTATCTCACAGGTACTTGTCACATTGCCTGGCACACAGTAGGCATTATATAAATGCTTTTTATAGTATATCTTTCTTTGATCCTCACAACAACCCTGTGAGGTAGGTACTATTATTAATCTCTATTTTACATTTGAGGAAACTGAGGCAAACAGGTTAAGTGGCTTGCCCATAGACACACAGGTAAGAAGTATCTGAGACTGGATTTGAACTCAGGTCTTCTTGACTCCAGGCCCACTTAATTTTTTTCTAAACAACAAAGGTAACCAAGATTTAGAGGGCTGACAAAAATTACAACTTAATTTCAACATAATTGGTTACCTTTGTAATCTGATGTATTTTCTTTTATACATTTAAAAACATTATTGTGAGAAAGGATCTGTAGGCTTCACCAAACTTTTTCCAACAGATTCTTATATCCCATGACCTTAAAATCCTCCACTCTCCTCCTCGTCTTTTTCTGAATGTTCTCCGGGTTGGTAATGTCCTTCCTGAAATGGGGTGTCCATAAGTAAACAACATTACTCCAAATGTGGTCTGACCCATAGAATACTGTGGAATTATCACCTCCTTAGGCACCGGTGCTTTGCTAAATGAATGTAGCAGCAGATCACATTAGTTTTTATTACTGCCATAGTGCCAAGTTGACTCATAGAGCTTGCAATCATTTTGAAAATGGTTTCATTTTGTGACAGCAATTGTCATGAATGTATGCTTTTTGTAATACTAAGCTGACTCTCAAGTCTGACCTTGAACAAAATGAAACCAGATTGAGCTGGTTTCCCCACCTTTAGTTTGTTCTCTATCGATTGAGTGCTGGATTTCTGTTAACCAGTCAACAAGCTTTTATTAAGTAGTTACTATGTGCCAGGAACTGTCCAGAGTAGAAAGAGGGTCCCTGAACTTGAAGAGTCCACATTCTGATGGAGGAGTCAATATGCAATAAATTATTCACGTACAAGATGTAGTCAGTGTAAATGGAAGGTGATCTCAGGGAAGGCACTAGATCAGGATAGGGAGGGCTTAGAAAGGCCTCTTGTAGAATTTGATCTGGGTCTTGAAGAAGCCAGGGAAGCTGGGAGGCAGGAGAGGAGGCAGAGGATTCCATTCATGGGGGATGGCAAGGGCAAAGGCATAAAATTGGAGGTGGATGTGAGCATTAGTGAGTAGCTGGGCCATAGAGTGTGTAGAGAGGAGTAAAGTATGAGAAAATTGTAAAGGTAGGAAGGGGCCATGTCTTGAAGGACTCTAAAACACAAACTGAGGACTTTATATGGGATCTTGGAGGTAATGCAGAGCCATTGGCCTTTATGGAAGAAATGAACACTCAAGGAGAGAAGGGAAATTGACATGGTCAGATAATAAAAGGGTGAGATCTTATTTTTTTTGAGGCAATCAGTGTTAAGCAACTTGCCCAGGGTCACTCAGCTAGTAAGTGTCTGAGGCTGTATTTGAACTGAAGTCCTACTGACTCTAGAGTCGGTGCTTTATCTACTGTCCCACCCAGTTGCCCCAGGGGGTGATATTTAAGAGGTCACTGGTATCTTTAGAGAGAGCAGTTTCCATTGAATGATGAGATCAGAAGCCAGATTGCAGAGAGTTACAAAGCAAGTGAGAGCAGAGGAAGAAGAGGTATCAGGTGTAGGGCAATTTTCTGAAACAGTTTAGCCAAGAAGATGAGGAGAGCTATGGGATGGTAGTGGGCATGGTCAGATCAAGTGACAGTTGTTTAAGGATGGTGGAGATATGGCATGTTTGTAGGCTTCAGAGAAAGAGAAAATAATAGGAAGAGATTGAAGATTAGAGAGAAAGAGAGAAAGTAGGGATGAAGAAAGTAGGGAAGCCCAAAGAGGATGGGGCTAAGGGTGAGTGTAGGGCAATTGGTTTTGGAAAGAGAAGGGCAACCTCTTCAGGTGAGTTAGAAATGAAGGAGGAGATAGTGGGGGAAGATACCTGAAGGAGTGAAATGAGGAGAGGTGAAGAGGGAACTCTTAGTGAATGGCTTCCGTTTTTTCAATGGGAAATGAAACAAGGCCAATATACACGCATTTCATTGCTCTCTTCTGTTGTGTTTTTAATTCTGTGGTCTTTAAGAATGGATATTGCACTGAAGAAGCATGCAAAGGTTATAGCTCTTAAGGAGCATACCTCAAAGAACTGGTAGCAGGCTGTACATATTTCCTCTGAGAACCAGGTAAGCTAAGTGCAAAGACGTTCATTACTAGAGGGCTGGCCATCATCAGGTGGTATGGCATTTGGGATGCGATTGGGAAATGAAATCTAGTTGATGAAACCATTTGCCAAGGAATAGGGAATATTGCCATCTGCACCCATAGAGGAAGCATCCTCATCAGGAAATTAGAAATTCTTGAAGTACTAGGATAATTTGTTTTTCACTGAGCTTCTATTACTACATGACAGGGTGAAGGGGTTAGATCTATATCAGTTGGTCTAGGGTAGCAATTTGGTCTCATACCTGCTTTACACTCTTAAAAACTATTGAGGACCTCAAAGAGCTTTTGTTTATGTGAGTTACAATCTATCAAATATTTACTATATTAGAAATGGAAATATATTTGGCTTCATGGATCTCCTACTTTGAGAACCTCTGGTATAGAGAAATCCCCAGGAGGAACCTCCAATGCAAATCAGCAAATGCCTTGCCATTTATGAAATTAGCATTACCTAGGACACAGACAAAGGACTTTCCCAAAGTCAAAGTCAGTACATACCATGGAGACTGGCTCTCTATCCACTATGGCACACTGTCTCTCCTTACTGAATATCAACATCAATAAAACCACCTTTGGAGTTACAACTCTTGAAGGGGAAAGGGGAAATAAATGCATTTGGAGTGGGAGGACCTGCATTCAAATTCTGGCTCAGCTGCTTACTACCTATGTGATCACTTTACCTGTCTGAGTCATAGGTTTCCAATGAGGGCATTGGAGTAGTTATTATTATTACTAATAATGATAATAATAACTAGCATTTATATAGTGCTTTAAAGTTTGCAAAGTGCTTCTAAATATCTCATTTTATTCTCACAACTATGTTGGGAGGTTGGTGGTATTATTATCCTCATTTTACAGAGGAAGAAATTGAGGGAGACAGTGGTTAAGTGACTCGCCCAGGGTTACACAGCTATGAAGTATCTGAGGCCAGATTTGAATTCAAGTTTTCGTGACTTGAGGTCTGTTGTACTAACTACTGTACCACCTAGCTGTCTGAAAGGTCCCTTTGAGCTCTAAATGAATGATCCTATAATCGTAATCCCTATTTCTAGTCGGTACCTTTCTTATTTTTGCAACTTGAAATTGTATTTGGATGAAGAAGATGTAAATAGTGCTTGATTTTTTTTTAAAGTCTAGATTCTCTCTTCAGGAACATTGTCTGGGAGGTCTCCACTCTCCCCTTCTTTTTTTTTCCTTATGTCACCCCCCAACCCTTATCCACATATTCCTCAATTTGATTTTTGATTTAGGAAGAAATTATTCCCCTGTATTCTGTTGCTCTCCACTAGCCAAGTTTTAGAAATTAATTTATTGCTTTTGAATTATTCAGGTATATGGATCCATCCCTTGACTCCATGCTTATGGACTGCCAAACTGCTGTCAATTTGCTATATGGACAGGTAAAAGGACATCTGCATTCTAAGTTTCTGGATGTTCTAAGGACGACCCTAAGACACATTAGTTAGGCATCAAGTATTTATTAGTGCCCGCTATGTGCCAGACACTCTGGTAAATGCTGGGGATACAAAGCAAGGCAAAAAACCAAAAACAACAATCCCAGCTCTCAAGGAACTCACAGTCTAATGGGGGAGATGGCTTGCAAACAGCAATGTACAAAGAAAATGTATACTGAATAAATTGGAGGTAGTCTCAGAGGAAAGGTGCTAAGATGGAGGATGGGGAGAGGCTTCTTGCAGAAGGTGGGACTTGAGCTGAGATGTGAAAGAAACCAGGAGGCAAAGATGAGGTGAAGGGAGAGCATTCCAGGCACTGGAGACAGCCAGTGAAAGTACTCTGTTTTCAGGAGATGGAGTGTTTTGTGAGAACACACTGGGCAGTAGAGTACATGGAACAAGGTAGAAGAAGAATTGGGTAAATAGAAAGAGGCAGTTTACAAAGGGCTTTGCAAGTTGAATAGGGCTTTAGTAGAGAATATTACCAGACCCTACAGGTTGTAGTCAATGAAAGAAAAGATAAACGAGAAGAAATTGCAAAGTTTATTCTTCCTCCACTTTAATAAGAACCTTTATTGAATTTACAATCAGTTTCTCATTACCAAGGCTAGTGAGAGTATAGAAGTAGTTTGAAAATTGTTATTCCTCAAACATCATTTGAGCATCACCTTCCTTCGCACTCTCCACAGCAAGCAATAATTATCCAACTAAAAGAAAAACCCAAAAGGCTAAAAGACTAACTGCTTCTACCTCCTCCCTCTTCTTCCATCAGCACTTGGTAAAAGTTCTAATAAGCAAAGAAATTACCCAGAAGATGAATTGGGCAATGGAAGGAAGCAAAATCTCTGTGCAATCCACGTTATTAGGCCCTAAATAATTAACGGTTGATTTTATAGCATGTTTCTTCCTTCCTAACAAATCTTCGTTATTGGTAGTCCCCAGCCTTCCCTGTTTTCTATTTTGTTGCCCCATTCATTGCCTAGTGCCTCAATCCCACCCATATGTCAGATCTCAAGGGCTCGCCATTCATTTATTTCCATTGATGCTTGAACTTCCAAGGAAAGTTATGATACCATCTTTTCAGATCTGTGAAAAATGTTTCTCAGTCTCTTTTTAAAAGCCCATGTTAATGACAAGGTAATTCTTTTCATGGCTTTCAAATAACCTGACGCTCTCTGCTGGCTGTCAAGAAAGTGTCAGCTCACTTTTGTGGCCTGATAGGGTGAGAGAGACACTAATAACACCTATTTCCTGGTGACTTTTATTTGGTCTGATACTCAGCACCTAGTTGTACTTGTAGTATTGAATAAATTAAGGAGGTAGGAGGGGGTGAAGGGCTCAACTATTAGATTAGTCCTTTTAAAAAAATATTTTCTATTGGAAAATGTATCACAATGATTTATATTTGTAAAGCACCTTAAAGTTTGAAAAGCTTTTTAAATATGTTATCTCAACCCAACAAAGGCCCTGGGAGGAAATTGCTAAGAGCATTATTATTCCCATTTTACAGTGGAGCTGAGGCTAAGAGTTGATCAAATGAGAGTCTCATGATTACACAGCTATTAAATGTCTGAGGAAGGATTTTAGCTTAGTTCTTCCTGATGTCAATGACAGTATTCTGTCCAGTGCTTCTTCAACTGTGGGTCTCGATCCCATACGCAATCATGAAAAATTTGGCAACAGTAAAAGGTTTCTGAGCACACAACAACCAACAATTAATTCAAAATCAAATGCATAATGAATCTGAGGTGTTTCTGACAGCGCTTGGCAATGTTGCATCTCGTACCTTCACTGCAGCCTTGGTTCTGAACGGGAAGCATGGGCAGTTTGTACCGAGCATGCCCTCAGGCCCTGCAATGCCGACCAATGCTGGGGTCTCCAGTGGGAAAAGTTTAAGAAGTCCTAACTCTAGGCTGTACTTCCTCTAATGATCAGCTGTCAATCAATGATCATTTCCAAAACAACAATCTGTTACAAGCAGCAGGATGGTATAGTGAATGGAGAGCTAGACTAGGTATGGGAACACTTAAGGTCAAATCTCAGCTCTGCCATTTACTAGCTGGGGGATCGTGGGCACATGCCCACCTCTCTGGACCTCGGATTTCTCACCTAAGGGATCAGCTAAGGGGCTTGTTCTAGATAGATTGAAAGGGCTTCTCCAAGTCTGAGTTTCTGTAGCCTGGAAGTGCTACTCTGAGTGTAGATCTAAGGTGAATGGAAAGATTTTGAATTCTCCTGCTCACTACAGGGAAAAGTTACCAAGAGAAAAAAAAAAAGGTATCAGCACTAAGCACAGAGCTTATCCATAGCAAGCGCTTAATATATTTATTGGATTGAATTTCTCGGACAGACATTAAAACTTGGGCCATCGAAATCATCTCTCCAAAGCCCTTCTAAAATATAAATTACAATTGCCAATTTAAAGTTTATTTTTGTTGTTAGCATATTCATTTTAAGTTAAATTTATGGAAGAATAGGAGTCTTCATAATCAACTCAGAGAGTTCATTTATGTCCATGTGATAGGAATTAGAGCAGAATCAAACTAGGAACACATTTTAAAAGATTGTAGAGGTTTGTAGTTGTTGCATTTTTAATTTTTTTTTTAAACAAATTGTTGGTCATTACTGTGGCTTGTTTTATGAGTTCTTAGTCAGGAACAGGGGTGAGGAACCTGCAGCCTTAAGGCCACATGTGGCCTTCTAAGTCCTTAAGTGCGACCTTTTGACTGAATCCAAATTTTACAGAATTTGTTCTGGTCAGGAGCATCCTGTCTTCTCACTAATTCCCTATCCTTATGAAATAATTCCAATGAGATTTAGAATTGGCTTTGTGGCATGGTTTCCACATATAGAATTAAAATATAAAATAGTTGTAGTTTTTTGTTGTTCAGACACGTCCAACTCTTCATGACCCTATCAACCATAGCATGCCAGTACTGTCCATGGGGCTTTCTTGGTAAAGTACTGGAGTGGTCTGCCATTTCCTTCTCCAATGGGTTAAGGCAAACAGAGGTTAAATGACTTGTCCAGGATCATACAGCTAGTAAGTGTCTCAGAGCAGATTTGAGCTTGGGTCTTCCTGACTCCAGGCCCAGAGCTCTACCTACTGAGCCACCTAGATCCCTGCCAGTTGTATTATAAATTATTTTTGTTTATCTTCCTTGTAAACTCTGTTAGTGTGTGTGTGTGTGTGTGTGTAAAGCAGAATAAATAATTATGGTGAATTTTCATTTTTATTGTCTCAGAATCAAGAAGACCTATAGGTTTAAGTCTTCTCTTATCTTGGGTCACACAGATAGTAAACATCTGAGGTCAAATTTGAGCTCATCTTCCTAACCTCAGGTTGTATACTCTATCCATTGGGCCACCTAGCTGTCCCCAATTTAAGGTTTTCAAAGTACTTTACATATGCTAATACTATTAATAACTAACATTTATATAGTTTTACTATGTTCCAGGCGCTGAGCTAAGTGCTTTACAATTATTATCTCATTTTATTCTCAAAACAACCCTGGGAGATAGGTGCCATTATTATCCTTATTTTACTGGTGAGGAAACTGAGGCAAACAGTGGTTATGAGACTTGCCCAGGGTCACACAGCTAGTAGGTTTCTAAGTCAAGATTTGAACTTGGGTCTTCTTGTCTCCAGGTCTAGCATGCTATTCACTACACCGTTTGGGTTCTTCAGTTTCCATATTTTCATCACGGACACCATCTTTTGTCCAATGACCAGGCTCTCTCTGTTCAGAGAAGTTCATCATTAGAATTGGCTCTCAAATGATGAGTTTTCCTCTGAGAAGGACCTCTCTAACACAGACTGCAAACTGTTCTACTACTTACACAGTTAGAGAAAACACCTCCAATATGCTTTCCCCAACTGCTTACCAATGCCTGACTTTAAAGTCACAAAGTCGTAGGTCACACAATGACTTGAATTCTCCCGGGGTGATATTTTCTGGGCTTTCAGAGGTTAATAAAGGACAGTAAGAGCGACTTACTTCTTACTCTGCCATCTTGGCTCCTGGAAGTGGAACTCTTAAATTCTTACTAAATGGCTGTTAGCTTCCTCAACCAATATCTGTTGTAGCCTGTAAGGATAGGACATAGGGACCAGATGTCAAGGGGGATGCAGTGAGGTATGACACAGTGGGGTTTACCTTCTAGGAGAGGGTGACAGAACATAGGCACAAAACACAAATCATACAGAAGATAGTGACGTATACTGAGAGCCAAGCAAGTGTATGGTACAGAAGTTTATAAAAAGATTATCATAGTCTAATATAGGGTGATTCAAAAGTCTTAGTGCAGTTTTAAGTTGTTACAGCTTACATTCTGTGGCCAGATTTCACTAACATGCTTCTAGGGGAGCAGTCTTTTTTGTGAGTCCATCCATGGGTTAGGTAAAGGATGGGCCTATGTATCGGAAATTTGGAAATGAATTGCAAAGCACTCATTAAACACTGGCTATGTGCCAAGGGCTGTGCTAAACATTGCAGATACAAATAGAAAACTGAAGGCAGTCCTTGCTCTCAAGTAGCTTACACTCAAATAGGAGCATACAACAGATAGAAGGGAATGGCAGCCAGGAATGGAGTGTTATGGTTGGGATGGTTATGGGATGGTCCTTTCCAGTAGCAATGACAATAATGATTTGATTATGGTTCCAGAATATATGACAAGGTAGCTAGGAAGAGGGTAACCAGGGAATAAAGTGTACCACATAAGAGACTTACAAGGTTGGAGGGTGGGGGTCCAAACTGACCAGGGCAGGAATTCCAGAGCTGAAGGGGAAGACATTTGGCAAGAACAGGCCAGGAGTTGTGGCACTCACCTGTAATCCTGGCAAGGTTGGGTCTGGGGATCCTTTTTTTTTTTTTTTTTGCTCATGCCTTTTGGGTGGCTGAACAAATGTCAGCATTGATAAATGTGGTAAACCCAGGGGAGGTGTATGCGGTGGGGAAATCCCAGGTTGCCTAAAGAGAGGCAAACACCCATGTCAGAGCAGGGTAAAGCTCCCACGTCAATCAGAATGGAATTGGGTGTGAGTGACCCTGAGCCTCCAACCTGAGAGATTCAATCTTTAAAAAAGAAAAAAGAGAGAAGAAAAAAAGGAATATGGTAGAGCCTTTTGATGGAGGATACTGAGCAAGGGGGGCCGACTAACATCCCATTTCTCAGCATAATTTGAAAGACTTTGCTTTTAGGGAAACGCTCATTTTTACAATTTAAATTGTTTTCAGGCAGTTCAGGAAATTGAAAAAAACTGGGCCAAACCAACACCGGAGCAAAGGCAGGAATTAGAAGCCCTGAGGAAAGCAGGAAACCAGACAAAGGTAAACTCCAAATCAACTTTAAAAAAGCCCAACAACAAGAACTTATTTTGAATAAGCCTTAGGCAGTTTACCAGAATTGAGGCTCTTTCTGGATTTTAATGTATACAGTATTAAAGGGGGCATTTTTAACAGATGGCAAATAACATCTCTTTCACTGACTTTTAGTGTTCAATTACACTGTATTTTTCCACTATTTAAAGCATCAAAGAGTATGAATGGAACCTGTTTTACATAATAGAGCCTAGATTTAGAGTAAAAAAGAATCTTAGAGGGATCAGAATCATTCCCTTCAATTTACTGCTGAGGAAACTGAGGCTCAGGGCAGTTAAGTGACTTACCCTGGGTTACATAGTGTCTGAGATAGGATTTGAACCCAGGGCTCCCAATTCCACGTTTGGTGACCTATCCATTATGCCATGCTGATATCATCTGGGAAGCTTGTATGTAAATCTGATCACCTTTCAAATAAAATATGGGACCTCATTATTTATAGGAATCCTATGTGAATCCTGGTGCATACAGAAGAATTTTTTAAAAATTCAAGTAATTATTCCTTGATTGACCTGTTTTATGGGTTATGATTTTTTGCATACAAGTGTGCTTTAAGAAATCCCAGTAGAGAAAATGTGCTCATGAAATGGTAACATACTTTCAAGCCAAGGCTGACTTAACATTGTACGGAGACAGACGTTTCTCTGGGACACCTCCAAAGTAGGTCAGATTCAGAGAGGGCCTGGGTGAAGGAGTCCTCTTTCCTTCAGCAGCCACAGAGTTAATTGGAGACTCCACAGGTGGCCAGATGGAATGGTTTGCTCCCTTCTCAGTTTGAAGAGTCATAAGGAAAAGTAAAAATGCAGAATTCTTTTGAGATTCCGTAACTGAAAAGAGAATATTTTAAAATGCTTTATAAGGATCTATTGAAGGACAATTTGGTGTCTAAATAAACTCTGCCCCCCAGCCTACCCTGTCAGTGATTACTCCCCTCCCTTTTAAAAAAAAAACTTATATTCAAAAGTTTCATTCATGTCTTTTTTTCTTTTATTTCAGGTTCATTTCCTTTTAAAATTTTTCAAAAATGTTTTGTTTTGAATTTAAGTAGCAAAAAAATAATACCAGTATTTCATACACACACATATCAGAACAAAAAAGGAGAATTGTTTTTGGAACAGTGAAATTCCATTTTATATGGTTTACTTAAAAAAAAGTATTTAATATAATGTTACTTTTAAAATTGCCCTATTTGTCTGTGCTTTCTTCAGACTTCCTTCTCTTTGGTGCATTTTTAAAATGTTCTGACCCTCTTTTTTTCTTTTTGTATCACTATTGCTACCCTTCCCTCTCTTCTCCACCTCCTCAATGAAAAACAGAGAGGAAAAAAAAAACCCCTTGCAACAAATAAGCCAAGCCAAGCCAAATAAATCCACACAGTGACCATGTCCAAAAATGTAAGTTTCAGATTCACTTCCAAATAACATCTCTCCCCTTCCCCCTACTTAGCAAACCATTCCCTGTAAAAGATGATTTTATAAAAATAAAAAAAGGAAAAAAAAGAAATTTCCATGATAACTTTATTATAGATTTAAAAAGAATAGCAAGTCATACACAATAGATTTGTGGTTTCATGTGCAATTATCTTTTTTATTATACTATGTTATGGAAATGCTTGTTTTATTCCATAAATTAAAAACAAAATAAATAATAAATATTTTTAAAAGATAATTTTAAAAATTAGTTCTGTACAGCCATCCAACATATTGACTGTGTCTGAAAACATATGCAACGTTCCACACCCATAGTCCTCCTACTGCTTCAACAAATAGGGAAGATGTGTTTTCTTGTCTCTTTGGGGGGATTAAGCTTAGTCATTATAGTTATACAATGTTCAGTTTCATTTGTTCTTCCCATGTACGTGGTTATGGTGTTGTTCAGTTATTTCAGTCATGTCTGACTCTTTGTGATCCCATTTTCAGGTTTTCTTGGCAAGGATACTGGAATGGTTTGCCATTTCCTTCTCCAGCTCATTTTCCAGATGAGGAAATTGAGACAAACAGGGTTAAGTGACTTGCTGAGGGTCATACAGTTAGTAAGTGTATGAGACTGGATTTGAACTCACAAAGATGAGTTCTACCCACTGTGCCATTGTTGTAGTCACTGTTTATATTGTTGTCCTGGTTCTGTTTATTCCACTCTGCATCAGTTTATATGTCTTCCTATGTTTTCCTGAATTCCTCATATTCGTGTTTCTTACTAATGACCCTCTTTCTAAAACCTTTCTGGATCTGGTTAGCTTTGGGACTCTTTTGGGGGGTTGGGTAACTTTCAGCAGCCTTGATAAAAGATCACATAGGATTCTGAACTTTGCCCAATAGCCGTTCTAAGCCTTGGAGGGAGAGTATGTGTGCTCATGCCCATAAACCTGACAGAAATCTTGAATATTGAATCAGTTCAAGAAACCCAAAATCATCAAGTCCTGGCCTTCCTTAATTTAAGTTTTCATGCCACATGGAGTCTGAGGTAGGTGAAGGTGAGAAAGAAGGTGAATCTTTAGGAAGAGAAGCCTTTGCAAAGCAAAATTCCTATGGGGACAAGTGTATTTGTAAAGCAACATTTTACAAAACCTGTTGTTATTTCAGCATACTTCATTGCCTCACTTTTCTCTCTTTCACATACACAAAGGTTCCATTTTTTGACAGAAGGGAGAAAAGCAGAGAAACAAGATAGGATGCCAAAAGGTTGAGATTCACTGGTGACTGAAGGAGGGGTGTTACCAGGGAGCAGGGTAAGAGGGAGAATTAGTTAAAAAAAAAAAAAAAAAGGAAACATGGCATCAGAAAAAAGGGAGAGAGCACTTTTGACCAATGGGAATGAGGACTACCTTGTCAGAGATTTCCTGAAAACTATAGACTTTGTAAAGCTGTATCCTAAGCAAAATAGGGCCTACCAGCATTGGACAAGTGAAGTTTTCTGATCTGAAATAAAAGTACTATTTGTGCATATGTGTACATGCACACATGCATCCTTACCTTCAGGCTGGGGATGTGGAATCTATTCCTCTTTAATTTAATTTAAATTAAATCTTTAAATTAAATTAAATTTAACTGTCATATTATCTGCACCTACAAGTTAAAGAATGTCAGATTTCAACAAACATTTATTAAGCATCTAATGTATACAAGACACTGTTATGCTAGCTTCTTGGGGTATTAAGATAAAATAAGATGTGGTCGTTACAACCTAATAGTGGCTTCAAAAGCTGAACTTTTCAAATAGGATGATCTGGTGTGCTCTCCACATGTAAGCTGTTGGGATCTCTCTCTCTCCCTCCCTCTCTCTCTCCCTCCCCCCTTTTTCTCCCCCTCTCCCCCTCTCCTTTTCCCTCTCTCTCCCTCTCTCCTTCTCTCCCTCCCTTTCTTTCACTCCCTCTCCCCTCTCCTCTCTCCCCTCTCCCCTTTCTCCCTCCCTCCCAACTCATTCCTGCTGAAATTCCATTTCCAAAATCTGCTTCTCTGCCAGGTGATATCACCATCATCTAAAGCAGCCTTGTAGCTCGGGTGTCCTGGTTAAATGTTTGAACACTGGCTTTCTCTGTTTGTGGATGTAAAACGTACACAAGACACACTTAATCTGCATTATTAACCCTTTCTCTATCACTTTATTAACTTTGGGTGATCAACAATACAAATCATCAAGCCCTGATTTGAAGCTGATTTCTGAGGTGTAAATGCTCAAGCTGAAAATTGAACAATTTGGCTCTCTCGGGCCAGCATGAGATGATTCCATCATACCCCTGCCATGCATATATGGGAAAATAAAATATTCTATTAGCCTGAAGAAATGAAGCATTTTCCCCAATGTAAAATTTCTCCCTCATTTATCTCAAAGGGTGGAATTTTAATTTTTTTTTCATTTCCCCTCCTCAGTTATCCTTGTTTTTAATCTATGCCACTGCGTGCCACACAGGACCTGTACCCATCAGAGCACAAGAAAACAACAATGTTTTTGTAAAAACTTGGCAAATGGGCACCTGAGAACTCGTCAGTCCAGCCTGACTCACCTTTATTTGCCTATAAATTTGTCCTCTCATTTGGGGGAAGGAAGAGGAAGGTATCAGTTATGAACATATTTTTAAAAATCAATGTTGTTCAAAAGAATAAGGCACCTTTACTACAAATTTGCCCAATGGTATTATCACTTACCATTCAAATACATCCATCAAAAAACAAAACATAACAAAACAAAACAAATACATCCATCAATATCACTTATCCTCTATTTCAAATGGTCTGTTATTTATTTTTCCCACTCTACTAATGGCCAAACTCATAGACATGACTTTGAACCCCACCTCTGAAACTCACAGACCCTTCTACTTTCTGATTCTCTGTTTCCTCATCTGTAAAATGAGAATAATATCTGAGGCACCTACCTTGCAGAATTGTGGCAAGGCACAAATGAGGCACTGTACATAAAGCAATTGGCAAACTTTTTTTTTTAAACAAAGCACTAAATAACTAGTCACTGCTGTTACTGTTACTCTCATTTGGAGCAGTTTTTGGAGCTGGTCCAGCAGGTGCAGCACTATGGATACATGCAGCTCGATACTTGTACCTGTGATTACCCAGAACCTGGCTGTGTGGCTACTGTGTCAGTGGGCAACAATGAGATCAGCTGCTACATAAAGCTACCTGGCAATCAGACGCAAGAGGTTAACTTCAAGATGAGCCATATAAAGTCCTGGCAGGTCACCTTCCTTGTAAGTATCTTCTAGGCATCTTGGTACAGTGGATGAAGCAGAAGCCCTGGAGTCAGGAGGGCCCGGCGTTCAAATCCGACCTTAGACACTTACTAGCTGTGTGACCCTGAGCAAGTCACTTAACCCGGATTGCCTCAAAAAACAAACAAACAAGCAACAAATGAAACGAAGTGGAAGTCTCCTATTTATGATTTAAAATTCAGTGCCATGCCCCCACTTCCTTACCAAGGCAGATCAAAATAGGGAATTTGGCATTTCAGGGACATATAAGAGCATAGATCGAAGGCTGGAAGGGATCTTAGGGGTCATCTAGGCCAACCCTCTCATTTTGTAGTTGTGTAAACTGGGGACTAGAGGGACTTGCCCAAAGTCACACAGGTAATAATGCCAAAGTCAGGATCTGAACCCAAGTGTTCTGACTCAAAATCCAATGTTTTTTCTGACATGCCCCACTGCCTCCCAGAATTAAGAGCTGAAATGGACTTTAGAGATCATCTAACCTAACCCTCTTATTTTGCACACGAAGAAACTGAGATTCAGTGAAATAATAAGCATAGTTGGGATTTTCTCATTTGAGTTGGTAGCTAGGTGGCTCAATGCATAGAGCATCTGGCCTGGAGTCAGTAAGACCTAAATTCAAATCCAGCCTCAGACACTTAGTAGCTCGGTGATCCTAGGCAAGTCACTTAACCTCTGTTTGCCTTAGCTTCCTCACTATAAAATGGGGATAATAACAGTGCTCACGTCCCAAGGTTGTTGTAAGGATCAAATGAGACAATAATTGTAAAACACTTTGCAAGGTGCTTGGCACATAGTAAATGCCATATAAATGTTAGCTATTACTCTTATCAGTGCAATGAGCCAAGATAATTCCAAAGAACCCATGGTGAAAAATGCTACCCACGTCCAGAAAGATGAACTTTGAGTATAGATTGAAGCATGCTTTTTTTCCACTCCTTATTTTTCTTTCTTTCTTCCTTTTATTTTTTCTTTCCTTTTTTTTTTGCAACATGGCTAATGTGGAAATATGTTTTGCATGATTTCACATGTATAATGAGTATCATATTGCTTGCCTTCTCAATGGGGGGGAGGGGATGGAGGGAGACAAAGAATCTGGAACTCAAGACTTAAAAAAAGGATGTTAAATAAATTAAAAAATTAAAAAATAAATATTAGCTATTGTTATCATTATTATTTTTACATTGCCAATCATTTAGTCAGTAAACAAGCATTTACTAAGTGCCTACTATGTGTTAGGCACTGTGCTAAGCACTAGGGATATAAAAGGAGGTGACAGTATAATAGACAACATGCAAACAGAAATGTACAAACAGGGTATACACAGGATAAATTGGAGATAATAGAAGTCATGAGTATTAAGCAGAATTGGAATTCTCATAGAAGGTAGGATTTTAGCTGGAACTTGAAGCAAGTCAGGGAAGGTAGGAGGAGACAGATGAGGAGAGAGGGAATTCCAAGCATAGAGGACAGCCAGTGACAATAGGCAAAGGTAGGAGATGGAGTGTCTTGTATGAGGAACATTAAGGAGGCCAGTTTCACTGGATCAAAGAGCACATGCGGAATAAGGTATAAGAAGAAAAGTAGAAGGGGACCAGGTTATTGAATAATGAAAAATTTCCTGGCCAGGAGACTAAAATCCACTTCAAGGTGCCCTAGCTACTGGAGGTCTGGCAGGCATCCTTTCTGTTATTGTTGTTGTTCAGTCTTGTCCAACTCTTTGTGACCCCATTTGGGGTTTTCTTGGCAAAGATACTGAAGTGGTTTGTCATTTCCTTTTCCAGCTCATTTTACAGATGAGGAAATTGAGGCCAACATGGTTGAATGACTTGCCCAGGGTCACACAGCTAATTAGTGTCTAAGGCCAGAGGTGAACTCAGGAAGATGAGTCTTCCTTATTCCAAACTCAGTGCTCTATCCACTACACCATCTAGCTGCCCAGGCATCCTTCTACTCTCCCTCAATGCAAACAATAGACTTCCCTACTTCTTTCAGCCTCTATCTTGGATTATCTAAGAAATCTCTCAGTACTCTTCTGGTTACCAACATTGTCTGCTCTCTTCTTGAGAAAGCCTCATCTGATTACATGGCTAATGTCTGAAAAAAGCAGTTCTCCAAGCAGGATGGTGAACAATGTCGTCTTTTGTTTTCCTTAGGGATCTTTGCTGGAGGAAGCAGATGGTCCTCAGCAAACCCTCAACCAGAACCTGGAGCTCAGGTTTCAGTACAGTGAAGGCTGCAGTTGGCAGTGCTTCACCATTTACACCAAACAGGTGAGGATGCAAGAGAAGAATGTGGTCAAAGTCGCTGACTAGAATGTGACTTACTTCACCAGGGTGAACCAGAGAGTAATAATGAATCTCTTAAACTTGGTGCCTTAAAATTTTGCCAAGAGCTCTACAGACACTGCCAACCTTATAGAATTGTTGGGGAGGTAGACTGGATAAGATAATGTTGGTAGAAGAAATTGTTGATGGGCACAATGGAAAGGAGGCTGGATTTGGAGTCAGAGAACCTGAGTTCAAATCTTGGCTCAACTTATTTTATTATTAACCTGTTTGACCTTGGGGCAAGTCATTTCATTTGTCTGAATCTCAGGTTCCTCAGCTATAAAATGAGAGGGTTGGGTTCAAGCGTGGGGGACCTGCAGCCTCAAGGCCACATGTGGCCCTCTAGGTCCTCAAGTGGGGCTCTTTGACTGAATCCAAACTTCACAGAACAAATCCCCTTAATAAAAGGATTTGTGCTGTAAAACTTGAATTCAGTCAAAAGGCCAAACCTAAGGATCTGAAAGGCTACATGTGGCCTTGAGGCCACAGATTTCCCACCCCTGGGTTAGATGATCTCTGAGATCCCTTCCAGGTCTAAATTTATGCTCCTATAAGTTTTATTATCCCCACATTGCAAGCTAAGAAACTGAGTCACAGAGAGGTCAAGTCAATTGCCCAGTGTCACAGAGCTAGGATCCAAACCAAGCATAGCTTTCAAACTGAATTTGTGCAGGGCACCATAATGAGAAGATGAAGATCGACCTGTGTCTTTCTGTTTGAGTTGGTAGCAGGACTGTGATTGTGATTTCTAGAGCTTTCTAATACCTTAGAAGCCAGTGAATGAGTTCACTTAAAATTTAAGTGATAGCGCCAATGTTGTTTCCCTATAAACCACTGGAATCTTAAACAAACTGTATCAGGGGTAAAGTTCAAATTGAATAATCAGAACCTTGTAGAAGGTTTAATTAGGGGTACATGCTGTATTTTGGGCAAAGCTTGAAGAATGTAGGTGTTCACAGATTACGTGTGATGGATGGGTCTAACTCAGGTCCTTCTCATTATTGTCAATTTGGTGTTGGAAGGAAATGAAACACTTGTAGGCCATTCAACAGTTAATAAAAGGATGCTTAATTTAGTCATAGCATAGAAAAAATATTCAAGAGGACACTGAAACACTCAGCTTGGGTAGACATGGTCCCCTTGCCTCTATATGGAAATTCTTATGGACAGCAGGTGAGGGTATGGGACATCGGCCAGGTGTGAAGGGCCCTGACTCCTTTTGATGCCCTCAGGTGACCAGGAAGCTATGTCAATATGGCCCAAAGACCACCAGGATGCTCCCTCAAAGGAGGTATAGTTTGAGCCAAAGCCTAGTAGGCCACTCAAGGCCCTGGGAACAGCTCTGTTCAGGGGGAAAAATAACTTAAGGAGGGGGGAAGGGAAATTCTAGACCCTATCCCAGTGTTTATACTGAATTTTGTATCCTCACCTTTTCTTTTCTTGGGTTTTTTTTTCAAGGAGGAGATTATTCTTGCAGGAGAGATTTGAACCAGAATATGAACAAAACCCTGAATATACTGCACTCATGTGCAAAATTTCAAGGGAGTTTCCAGTTTTTTGAAAGGCTGTCATGTGGAAGAAGGATTATGCTTGTTGCCCTTGGCCCCAGAGGATGAAACTAAGAGCAATGGAGTAGAAGTAATAGCGAGGTGGATAAAGGGGAAAATTTCCTAATAATTAATGCTATCCAAAAATTAATTTACTCATTCAACAAACATTTGTGGAATGAATTTTCTTGGAGGTAGTTAATTCCCTGTCACTGGAGGTCTTCCAGCCCAGACTGGGTGAGCATTTGTTTGGAATGTGTAGGAGGGTGTTAACGCTTCAAATGGCACTGGGGCCAGATAATCTTCGAAGTCTCATGTAATTCTAAGATTCTACAATCAGACCAAACTGAAATATTTATTTTAAACTGAACCTTGGATAAAATTTTTACTAAAAATGGTGAATCTGATGGTGCTAACACCAAACCTATATGTTTTTTAAAGTTCTTGAAATAGAACATTAAACAAATCTTTGGAATGACTTCCATTTGGCTTGTGCCCCTGGTTTTCATACCTCAGCCAGGAGGAATGTCTTTGCTTCCCATGGGACCTCAAGCCCTGCTTCTTTCCACTGCTAGCGTTGGTCATGGGAATGAGAGGATATATGCAGAAATCCTTCAAAAAGCATAAAAGCCTAGACAAAAATGAAAAAAAATTTTAAACAACAAAAAGTGAATGGGGTTTACCTAAAAGATGAAATACTCTCAGGGAAAGTATATGAGGATCTGCAATGTCCAAATCTGAAGTGCCTTGGAGAGAAATATAGAGGGACTTTGTAGTGAAACCCCCACCCTGGAATGCTACAACAGTAGTTACATTTTGTTATGATGTTTTAATCCACTGGCAAATGAATTTAGGCCAACAAAGATTATAGCAAACATTTTTCCTTAAAGGATTTTAAACCAGGGCCTATTTCCTTTGAAGTAGAAGGGCTACTCACACACTCAAAAGTCTATAGCTTCGGAGAACCAGAAAAGACCCCCATGATCCTCTGAGCTACTTGAAGACAAGGATTGTTATTGTCTTTCTTTGTATTCCCAGTGTTTAGCACAATGCCTGGTGAACAGGAGGCACTTAATAAGCGCATGTTGACTTGACTCAACCTTTGAGATCATCTAGACCAGTCCAATCACTTTACAGATAAAAACCATTATATATGCTTCTGGTTGTTATTGTTGTTGTTTGTCCTTCATTCTCTAAGAGGACCATGAGGTCAGGAGGTGAAGCCGTGACATGCAAGTGAATTAAGTGAGGGATGGCAGAAATCCTTCAAAAAGTATGAAATGCTAGATAAAAATGGAAAATATTAAAAACAACAACAACAACAAGTAAATGGAACTTACTTAAAAGATGAAGCACTCTCAGGGAAGACCTAGGAAGGAGATTTTGCTCAAAGTCACAGAACTAGTTAGTAACTGAGATGGGGCTCGCATCCAGGCATTCTGATTCCTAGTTCAAGTACTCCTCCCATTACACTTGTCTGCCCCCAGGGAGTACCCATGGGCATGTGTACTATCAATACAAATGAAGAGTTGAGATCTAAATCTTTCTTCAGTCACTGGAAAGAAATCTTGTTTTCATATTTTCCCCCTGTAGGCATTTGTAATGATTTAACCCATGGAGTTAGGAACTGAATGTAGTTAAGATTAATGTTATGATAGAATCTTGTGTCTTTTGAACACTTCATCATCTTTCTTCTCCCAGGTATGGATCCAAATCTTAGGTTAAATGCAAAGTGTTGGGAGCTGGGGGAGGGGAGATAAAGGATGTTTTTATGTATTATATTCTTGTGCAAATCAAAGGTGATAGCTGAAAAGTATAAAAGGATGGTGTGTAGGTGGTTCAACCTCAGTACCTGCAAAGATGTTAGGACAGATGATTTATTTGTAAAACCACGAATGAGCTTTTAAAAATCTCTATCTTTTAGTAAATGCGTTTTGGGCAATAGTGGGTAGGGGAGATGCTTTGGGGGTAATAGAGCCCTTTTCCTTGTCAGTGAAGTCTAGCCGTGGTGACACAGTTATTTTAGGGTCCAAGGAGTGACCACATTGGAAAGGAAAGGCAGGTAGGACTGTGTTAGAAAGGATAGTAGAACACTTGAACTGTCTCACTTTCCTCCCTTCTCTATTCCCTAAAACTGAAAGATTTGGAGGATCCAAAGACTATTTTCCTATGTTTCCACAATTCCTTTCCAATTTTCTCTCTTTCTCTGTTACTAGGAAGTAGTCCATAATGATAAGGTCAAAAGTTACAACTGTCAATCCGGGTTAAATGACTTGCCCAGGGTCACACAGCTAGTAAGTGTCAAGTGTCTGAGGCCACATTAATTTCAAGGGAAGTTTGATTTAATTACAACAGTAAACTGGACAAGATGTGGTATTCTTTGTCTGTGGCTCATGTAATATGGTTGGCAACTCTCACAGCACACTCATCTACATTACTATAGCTTAAAAAATAAGAAGCATTCTTAGACAGATGGAAGGGAAGTCGGGGGAATTTAAGAAGGGACTCAGCAATGTAAGATTGGCTGTCTTTTTGGTCTGTTGTTGGATTTTTGACTGCATGTATGTGTTTGTAGTTAAGCAAATTTTGGCGTGTTTGCTGTTAAATCAAAAATTTCTGGAAATTTTAAGAAAGAAAAATCTCTTCTGGGAAAAATAACATTCAAATTGAGACCAACATCTGCATTGCGGTTTGGAGAAAAGGAGAGAATTCATAGTTTAGTATTTTATTGAGAGAAAGAGATTTCATTTATGGGTTTTTTGTAGGCTTTTTTGCTGAGTAGCTGCTTGAAAAAGATGATATCGGAGAAACTGACGAAGCTAGCTGCAGAAAACCCAGAAATGGTAAGTATTTTTCCTCTGGATATTTTTATTTTCATTTGTAAATGGTACTGCCAGGCCAAACTAGAGTTCAAGGATCAAGGAGTCTAGAGGTCCAGAAAAGAGAGAATGCTCCAAGGCCATACACAGATGAGATCTTTCCCCTCTCTCCTTGGAGCTTTTTGGGTACAGTCTGATAGAATGACAAAAATAACCCAACTATCTTTAAGATTCAAACTATATGTTTTCTTAAGAGTAGTCACACTTAGTTTGCTGAGAGTATTTTCGCCCTCTTATGTTATCCTTTAGTTGATTAGTTGTGTCTGACTTTGTGACCCCATTTGGGGTTTTCTTGGCTAAGTGGAGTGGTTTGCTGTTTCCTTCTCCAGCTCATTTTACAGATGAGGAAACTGAGGCAAACAGGGTAAAGTGACTTGCCCAGGGTCACACAGTTAATAAGTGTCTGAGAGGTCAGATTTGAACTCAGATCCTTCTGACTTCAGGTCCCACATTCTATCCACCGTGCCCCTAGCTGCACTCCAAATTCCGTGCTATTTTCTCTATCCTATCCAAAACACAGGTAGGAGATTTTTTTTTTGACATGGCATATAGATATAAAGGACATTAGGACAAGTTTTTATCTGGAAAGGCAGATTTGTTGCTTAGACTATCCAGAGATGGGGCAGCCCCAAAGGCTTCTGGGGGGACCAGTATAGATTTCTTTAAAAAGTCCAATCAAAGATAGGTGATAGATAATAATGCTGTTGATGATAATAAACAAATAGCATTTCTATAGCTCCTACTACAGACCAGGTACTGTGCCAGGAGCTTTGCAAATACTATCTCACCTGATCCTCACAAAAACCTGGGAGAGAAGTGCTATTACTCCCATTTTACAGTTGGAAAAACTAGGACAAGCAGAGGCTAAGTGACTTCCCAAAGTCACACAGATAGTAAATGTACGAAGCTGGATTTGAACTCAGGTGTTCTTGACTCCAGGCCTAGTGCTCTAACCACTATGTCACATAGATAGATAGATAGATAGATAGATAGATAGATAGATAGATAGATA